CGTAAATCAAAAGAAAATTAGATTGCTGCGCATTCCCTTTCCTATTATTCACTTATCGTGCAGCCGCACCTATTACTGTTGTGATTGCGTTATTGTATTCAAACCGCCAATGTTCCATTTGGCCTTTCAGCTTGTCTGCCAGATCTAAATGTGGTGATTATTTACTCCTGATATATATATATATATATATATATATATATATATATATATATTATTTTTATTTATTATTTATATTTATTATTTATATATATATATACATGATTTTATGTTTTGTTCTATACTTTGTTTACATTTTTGCCGGGCTTTTAATTCGTAACATCATGAGTATGATAATATAGTGTTAATTATTTATCTTACTCCTTGTAATTATAGGCCCTATATTATCTTTACTTCCTGGTAACAATGCATTGGGTGGCATATCTTAATCAATTTTAGCATTTGTATATTACTCAACGATAGATGTTCCGCTACTGGCTGATGTATCAAACGCTTGCTCTGAGCCGTAATAATGCGGTATCTTTTCCATAAATCGTGCCATTCTTACTGCTCCATATAATTATAAATGTCGAACCTTTGCGTTTCGCAAATATGGCGCCAGGAACAAAGCTTGGTGCATGCCCTTTTCCTCCGGCAACGCTGGACCATAAACGCGTGTTGTACATTAATGTCCCCATTGTTACTCTAGGAGCGCAGACTTAACGCTTAATTACATCCGCCACGTTGTACAAAAAGCCACGTTTATTTCTAGAAAGAGGCTGACGAACCATAGAAATCATTTATTAAAACAGTTTTACAATACTAAACTCGCCATGGGACTGTTGGCGAGATAAGTCAATCTCTGATGGATAAGTAGAGGGCGCATGCATGTCCAACCGAGTAATAAGAAGCCATATTTCAACAAATTCATAAACCAAAGTTCAGGAATCAATAGTCAAATCTGGGAACATGAGAATGGATAACGCAACGCTAGATTTCACATTGAACTATCACCGAAAGTCATGACGCTTGGAGGAATCAGGCAATGCTGACAGGGATATATCAACAATAAGTATTGTTGAACAATATTTCCCAATGCTAGGAACGTATATATAGACACCGGTGTCGTCCGGAAGTGAAAATGTCACGAAGAAGTGAAATATCATTCACACTCATGATTCAAGCTTCGGCTGACGTCCCACAGAGTAATAGGAAACACATCATTGTTCGCCCACGATTAAATCAAGTTGCCTCGGGCAGAGATTGTTAGCTTAATTAAGCAGCATGTCTAGCGCCCAATTTCAATCATTGCTTCCAGAGTGGTCTCTTCATCGCCAAGTTGAATGCAAATTGAAGCTGTGTTTCACTGGTTGGCTGCTTCATCCCGTCTAACACGGTCGCCTCACTGACTTCTACTGAGTCGCAAACCAGATGTCCGTTCGCACTATCTACGCAGACATTTCTTCACTTAGAAGGTCGCCATGTCGCATTCTGGTTCGTATTGTCGGTTATTAATACTTAGTCTATACGTTAGACTGCTAGCGTAAACCAAGTGGAATTATTCGCACAGTGATTTTTCCATGCTGCGATATACTTGTGCGTCGTAATCAGCGAATTATTTGGTGATATCAGTCTCGATCATTAGAGCCTATATTATATCCCAGGGCGCCGTTATGAAATTATAAATATATACAGTTCGTAGTTCTGATTTGCAAGTCGTTAGGCAGGTAATTTGCCAGCGATTGAAGTAGCGAAAGGCATCTTTCGAGCGTGCCTACTTTCCTCTAGGCATGATTATAACTGCGCTAAACAACACTCGTAGAATTAGAATACTTAAACGTCGGCCCTAAGTTATTTCCCGTTGGGCGAACGGCCGCCGAGTGTCGCGGCTCCATCCCTGTACATGAGTATAGTCGAGAACCTTCGGCAGCGTTAGTGGCCACCACATTGAAGTAGCGAGGGTGCAATTTTTTCGATGCGCACCTTCTCTTGGCATGCGCACACTCTAAATTAATGCTTAACATCGGCGGGTAAGTCATTTCTTAGGCGACAGGTCGCCGACGTGTCTGCGCCCTATCACATATACATTGGTATAGACAGGGACATTCGGTACGAGGCAGCATCATACACTATGCAAGTAGCGAGCGTGCATTTTTCGACTGCGCCAACTTCTCTGATGCATGCCACACCGTTCCTCAACGCTCTCCATCCTCGCACCCCGCCATCGGGTTCGTCGCCTGTTTAGAAGCTGCTTCCCATCGGGATTTAAGTTCATCTCCGTGGTGTACGTCTCTTTGCCATTAATTCGCGTGTCAGCCCTGAACATTCTCCCTTTGCTCACCAGTTCTTCATTGTTCGACAGGCCGAACGTCTTAAATGTACTGCGGCAATCGTTTGCCAAACAAACAAAGAAGGTCGCCGTTAAGACAGCAACGTTAGAATTCTTCTTCTATTATGAAGCGTGGCATAAGATAGCAGGATAGCCGCTTCCATTGTCTACACATCGCTTATGGTCACGTCGAACTCCTAATGTATATATTATATAGTATAATAAGTAATATTATATATATATATATAGATAGATAAATGTTATACTGGACACGGCTAGAAATTTTTGACTCTGTTTATTGCATACAGAACTGTTTTCGTGTGGAGCGAAAAGCTCCACAGCTCATCAGTGCCTAATTTACACAGTCTGTCTATTTGTAGAACATGCCCGAGGCAGTATAAAAACATCATGAATAATGTGATCTATTGTTCGTATTGTACGTGCGTCGTCTCTAAAGAAAACCGATAATACTAATTAGCGCGTCATTGTCGGTGGCTGCTGCGCGCTGCGCTTAAACTGAGATTCATATGTAAGAGTTCACATACGTTTCTTTAATAAAAATTTATCTTATATGTCTGCCAGTTTACTTAACAAGTTCGTTCTACTTGTCAGTGTCGCGAGTCTTAGTTTGCACCAATATGTAGAAACTTCTCTGTTAAGCCATAGGTGCATTTCTTCGTAGTGTCTCGAGTTAGTGTGGCGCTCTTGCCTCAGTATCTTCCATTTAATCGCGTAGTCGGTAGACGTTGTTGTCTTTCAAGTTCCAAATTATGTTTACTAGAGTTTCTGTCGAGTCCGTTTTTATCCGTCAGTGAAGGATGCCTTTTTGGTTCGCTAGTCTTGCTGTTGAGGTGGGTAGCTGTTAGTCCGATCGTATGTTTCTGTCTTTTTTACGCTTTTCACTGATTGCTCGGTATACTATGTCTTAGCAATGGAAGTTTTCATCCAGGGCACGTTACGTTTTTCGGGCAGTTGCATTTCTGTTGTTTACCGTTTCCGTGTTGATTCTGCCAGTATTATTCTGTTAATTTGCTCGCTTCCAGAAAACCAAAGACTCCACAAGATTTGCAATAAGAACAAATGTTAAGATCTCGTACACGCCTGCATGCCGAACGTGAAGAATACAATAGAGGGATTACAACAGAAGAATACTGCCAGATCAACACGAACTCGCTAACTGATTTAGGCCTATCCAACAAGCTATTGTATACTAATAATGCGCTCATCTAGCGGACACTATATCTCCCCTGAGGAACCTACTAAACATTGAGTTACTGATAATGCACTACGCTGGAAACCCGCGCTACGCGCGGGCTAGTGACCTGTTGAAGCATGTTACCAGTACCAGTAGTGTTATGGTGTAAGGTGCTTATATGGAGGTTTTAGTTGTTGCCATGTTTTTTTTTTCGATGATTGAGATTGTCGAATACAATACAGTACGCTAGCTAGTATGTAGAGCAGTTGACGCTCAGATTTCTACTCTGCTGTGGAGTATCTCACCCTCATGTTAAGAATAGTCTGCCGGTAGTCTCCCTTTATGATCACGCGAAGACTCTGCATCACAGCTAGGATTAGAGCCTCACTGTCGTTCATCTCTTTCTTGAACAGATCAAACATCTTAACCTAAAAAGAGAAAGAACCCTTTCTCTTAGTCATTAATAAGAAATATTTGATTATTTCCCTAATAGCAGGATACAAATACCTAGGTGACACTTATATGATATTAGTAGGAAAAACTCATATTTGAACGAAAGAGAGGCTTGTAGTTTCATAGGTCAGTAGGTGTCAGTAGGTGTAAATTAGGTATCAGGGCAGAGGTTACACCTGGTATGCACGCTCAGTCTCGTTGATCTTTCCGTATTTCATTATTATATCTTCGCGCTGCTGTAGTTTTGATATGACATCGCGTTTTCGCTGCATGATGAAGGTGAGGAGTTTCCCTGCTGGTCCAGGTGCTAATAGGACCGACGATTTGACTGTCACATTACTCTTTGCAAGAACATGAACATGTTTCCCTGAAATCAAAACAAAGCAGTAAACTGTCAATATATTATTGAAGGTTGAAAGTGAAAAAAAGGAAGAAGTACGTGGCTTTAACTTTGATCTTATATTACTTGGTTGTTAACTTACACTGTATTGGGTACGGGAGTGTGATGATGACTTGGGGTACGGGCACTTGGTCATTTTTTGACTTCCAAAAAGGTGATCCACACTACTAAAGTAAAGAACACTGTTGCAAACAACAGCAAAAATGACAATCACAATGGTATGTCTTGATTTATGATGTGCTTCTTACCTATTGCCTTTGCATGTGTTTCAGAAGATATGGTCAAGGCTACTAAAGTCAGCACCAGCATGTAGTTCATGATGTTTCTTCAGGTTTCTGTAATTAGATGCGAGATTATAGTACAGAAATGGGAAATCGATTTAAGATTAGAATTGATCATACAGTTTTAGTCAGTTTAGAATCACGGCGTCGCCACATTATGGATGTTTCTCACAGTAATTGACTTAACGCCCCTGATTTGGGCATTGGCTGTCATGTCATCTTATGATTTGCGTGAAAGGACAGGATGCCGTATGCATTGTTGTCGCGAAACAGCCGTGTTGTCTGTGTTAGCCACTGCCACTGGCACTGCCCTGGCACTGTCAAACCACTAAACTTGAAGTTTGAACTAACGATTCGAGGCTGCCATCAAACACTTATGCTATATTATTTATATGTTCCCACTCAATGAATAACTGACATTAAGGTGTTACGAATTTTCACATTCAGTATTCTGTCTGCGTGTATGGCAGATAACATACCGGAACAAACACAGACCACGTATAGATGTAAATATCAACATAAGGGCGCAGACATCTTATATACCTCTTGCGTAAAGCATCTCGCCCATTTATATATATAAATTGTTTTTATTTGAAGACAATAATAAATGACAAAACGTGTTTTTTGCTGATGGCTACACATGTAAACATTATTCTGGATTTAGAAATTGCACGAATGCTTTTAGAAAAATTCGGTGTTTGAATTTTGACGAATCGACAGGTCTTGGCGGGCCTGTCAAAAAGATGGCGGCGATGTGATAGGAAAACATTTGAAATTTTTAAATACAGATTGAAAATGGAAATCCGTGACTGTATCTGTGCAATATGTTTGGACATAATGATAGAACCAGTGACAATGCCTTGCTTGCACGAGTTATGTACGCCGTGTTTCCGTACAAATGTGCAAGAAACCAGCTTGACTTGCCCCCTGTGTCGAATGAGAATCAGCAGTTGGGCACGAAGAGCAACACGGGAAAACAAACTGATCAACCAAGCGCGCTGGCGAGAAATAAAAAAGGCGTTTCCCAACGAAATAAGGAGGCGACAAATAGACAATACGGATGGCATTGACACAACAGGTATAGCTTAAGTTATCCAACTGTTATTAAGCAAAAATCAGTCCTAGTACTAGTAGTAGACCAATAAATTGTGCCCTAAAAAAGTATATTCTGATGTTATTTTAGGGCCCAATAGCCTTCCATGATAGACAAAACCTGTGAATTCTGTCGTGCAAAATGCACGACAACCTTTTCACTATTTACGGCCGTGTTACATAGAAAATCAAAGAAATACCTAAAGCCGTCGCTTTATTAACATCTTAGTATCTTACCTACATTACAAATCACTTGTCATGCAAAACATCACAACATAAAAATTACGCAAACTTCGCTACACACAAAACTGCCAATCTTGCATTGAACCGCACAACGACATTTCTCACCGGCCAATGAAATCATCGCTGTGACGCTGTCCGGTGCGGTTCAATGCAAGATTGGGAGTTTTGTGCGTAGCGAAGTTTGCGTGATTTTTATGTTGTGATGTTTTAATAAAATAAACGTGATTAAAGAGGAGAATACTGCATGACAAGTGTTTTGTAATGTAGGTAAGATGTTAATAAAGCGACGGCTTTAGGTATTTCTTTGATTTTCTATGTAACACGGCCGTAAATAGTGAAAAGGTTGTCTGGCATTTTGCACGACAGAATTCACAGGTTTTGTCTATGGAAGGCTTATTGGGCCCTAAAATAACATCAGAATATAAAAAAATTTAGGGCACAATTTATTGGTCTATAGTACTAGTAGTACTAGTAGTAATTAATAATAATCGGTAAGGTAGTGTCTAGACGACCGGACCCGGTTTTGGAGGCCTGAAAACTAAACAACCGGCTCTCTTCTCTGATTCGTCAGTTTCCGAACATAACAGGACAAATATATACCTAATAGGACAATTTTGTTGCAATGCAAAACATAAAGAAATCTATTTTATTCCGAACATAAACAAAAGTTACAGAACAAATAAATGAATACGGAACAAATAAATGCAGAAACAAAAAATACAAAGAAATACAGAAAGCAGAGGAAAATACAAACATCTTATGGGGTTCGAACGTGGTCCCTTACTATCACGTAGCGAAAGCTCTACCGTTGAGTCACTGAAACCAACTTGAAAGGGAGGGATATAGACCCTAACCCTAACCCAAACCCAAACCCTAACCCTAACCCTATCCCTAATTCTAAAATTAAATAAAATTAGCCAAAAATAATAAAAAATAAAATAGAGACAAAATTAGCCAATCAGAGAAGAGAGCCGGTTGTTTAGTTTTCAGGATACCGAAACCGGATCCGGTTGTTTAGACACTTCCTAATTGATATAAATTATAAATAATTAATATGACTATAAATAGGATAATAATGTTTCAGTTCAGTGAACTTAGTAAAACCATGATTACATGGTTTCCAATTTAACGGTTGCTGATTTCAAATATCGTACGACGTATCTAGGTCGTAGCCGTAGGTAGTTGGCGTGATATACTATTACTAATAAGTAATATAGTAATTAGTATTACTATTACTATTACAGTATTATTGTACATATCCCATTGTTACACTGTCACACATTTTTATTTCTTTATTTCTTTATTAATTTAAAGACGGTACATTGGTAACAGATATGTCAACATGAGCTTGCGAGCTTCTCACAGTGACACTGTATACTTGTTATCTTTGTTTATTTACCCGTAACCGTCACACACTGTATTTACAACGCTAGTACAATATACCCTACAACCGACAGGGACCTGGAAGAAAACTGGTTGTTGATGTTGTTGTTTTAGGCAGTACATGTTGCAAGCTGTACTTTCCCCCTTTTACAATACAATTACACATAATTTATCACCGCCATTGATTGTAATTTGTATGAATCATAAGTATAACGTCGTAAACAACGCTACCTACATCTTTTTTAATAATCTAATTATATTTTGACTGTTTGGAAGAAATTGACCAATATACACGTGCTTTACCAGCACCTTCCTCATCCTCTAGGTAAACATTTGTGATCATAAACATCAAACTGATAGAGTTCTCATGTTTGTGTCCTGTCTTAATGTAGTTATAACTATATAAACGTTTGTGTGTGTGTACGTGCGTGCGTGCGTGTGCGTGCGTGCGTGCGTGTGTGTGTGCATGCGTGCGTGCGTGCGTGCGTGCGTGTGTCACTGTATATATATAATATAATAGGCTACCTCTAGATGTTTTAAAGTTTGAGCCAAGACCTAAGGCACCAGTTATTGTTTAGCCACCAATGAAAAACTATAGCCACTGTTCACTTTATTGTATGTGCTAAGCAAGGCATAACCAGGTGATGGGCATGGAAAAATAGGTGTACAAAAACATTTTTAATATTTAAGTAATCGAGTAAAAAATTAAATAATGTGGTTTAGTTTACACAATACTAAGATATTTTATTTAAAGGTAAGTTTAAAATTGACTAGGTTACAGAATTTGTTAGTACTTACACATCGATTAAGTTTGACCATTTTTATTATTCAATCGTAATTTTGTGAGCAATGAAATCATTCACCAATTTGTATTCGCCACTGGTATTTATTTATCGCATTTTGCGAAGGTGGCGAACACCAGCGGTAGCCCTGTAAAATAGTAGTGAGAGCTATAAGAACTGAAGCATCTTCACTAATTTGATATTTAGTACACATATGTGTAACATTGTAAGACTGTTCATTTCATTCAAAGCCTGTAAGTGTAAGGGCATGATGCATAGCGATAAACTGATATATAAGTTGTTCGTTGCATGCCACCTGTTTTTTAGGGAAAACCTGGGCTTATGATTAGGTTATAAATAGGAGTTCAAACTTTCAAACGTTGTTTTGATTTAGATTGTAATAAACACTTTGGATAGAAGGTTGTATCAAACGTCAGTGCCACTAGCATCCATTTTCTTATATAGTGTATGACAACCAGATTGAGTACATATATAATAACTATAGCTGAGAGAGTCTATGTCCCCCGGGGTACTGCCGGAACGTACACTGGTACTATCTAATATGCCGGACCGTACCTTGCCTACTCCACTAACGAGTCTAGGGAGTCGCCTACTCCCTAACCCTAACCCTAACCCTAACCCTACGCTAATCCTAACCCTAACCATATCAAATAGTGACTAGGGTACGTTCCGGCAGTACCCTGGTGGACATAGACCCTATGAGTATGAGCATAACTATAGGTTTTGGGCACAAGTAAACATCTCATGAATTTCTCATTTGATTTTGCAAAGAGTCGGTAACAACTCTTAAAAGAAACATAAACATGAGGACTGAAAAT